TTGTGTTTATAATGTAATTATTCAATATTTAATATAATTATAATTGTGAGAATGTATATTTTTCACTATACTTTAAAATCATTTAAAGTTACAAATGTTGCTTTCTTCATGATTTTATAATTTTAGTTAATGACTTTAACAAAGTCTGGGTAACAGGTGATTGTGATGTTCTATTCTTTCAGCTTGTACGAAGATTATTTAAAGAAATTACAAGTAGTTGACTTGTCTTAAAATATTGACACATTCTTGCCCCAGTTATTTGAATTTTTATTGGATAGGTCTTCCATGTGTATGGCAAGTAGCCTCGTTAACAGAAGTAAGAAAGAAAATTTGAAAGGCAAATAAAGTTTCTTTTCTTTCTACGAGTATCTTAACACGATTAATTTTCTCGATATACACCTTGGGATTCCAAAAAAAATTTTCGTCACTAACAACTATTCTGTATATGCGCTATGCCAGTTTTATAAAATCGCACTATGTATTGAAGAAAAGAAAAAAAAAGAAAAGCAGATAGAGTTATGCCTTTTGCTATACGACCGATGTATCAAGCGCTGTACTGATTTTCTGTCAACAGATATTCTGGACCACCTCCTTCACAGCGTTTCGGTAGTCCTCTGAGGGATCCTCCGCCTCATAAGAGATTCGAAGATGTCGCACCACCTGGTACTGAAGGCTATTACGATCTCTCACCACCGGGCGTCGAGCATTCCGACAGATCGTTGAGGGAAGATCGAGAGCGGCAGCGTTCCCTGAGAGATCAAGAAGATCGAGAACATTCGTCAAAGGATCGTGACAATGAAGAGCGTGACAGATTAAGAGATGATAGGTATATAATGTTAAATATTGCGTCAAGTGAAATAACTCTTTTATTTTATAAAAATATTGTTCTGCTTTGATCATTTAAAAAGAGGATATCTTTTATCTTAAAAGAATTTATTTTGAAGGGATGTATCTGTGACATGCATATTATATATGTTTCAAAGGGGTCGCGATCGTGAAGATCGTATGCGCGAGAGAGATGACAGAGATCGTAGAATCGTGAACAGAGATCGCGAGGATCGCGATAGACAAATCCCGCCGAGAGATCACGAAGACAGGATACGAGAAAAAGATGAACGTGATAGGAGAGAAAAGGAAAAAGAACGAGATGATAGACATATTCGCGATCGTCGAGATGATGATAGACACATTGAGAAGAAGGATTATGATAAAGATCGGTGCGTTTTAATAATCAAGTAGAATTAATGCGTATATTATTTAATTAATTAAAAAAATTAAATAATCAAATCAAATTAAAAATTTCAATACACTAAATATTTTGATATGTAAACTATATATGAACTTTAATGAAAAGACATAATAGCAATTTGTTAAATTGGTTTCTTTGTTGGAAATATATATTATCTATATCTCCATGTTTTTTTTTTGCTACAGTTACAGAGATGATCGAGATCGCCATAGACAAGATGATAAGAGCCGACTGCGAGAGAAGGAAAGACGCGAGCGCGAATACGAATCCGAAAGGGAGAAGGATAGAGATCGTCACGAGCGATACGAAAGACGTTCGCTAGAGCGGAAGAAGGGCAGAAAGAGTTTAAGCCCGTATTCGCAGAAATCCAGAGGCGATCCTAAGGATTTATCGCCAGAGCGAAGTACAAAGAAGAAGGAAAAGGAACATGAGGAAAAAGTGGAAGAAAAGAAGAAAGAAAAGAAAATAAAGGAAAAGAAAAAGAAGAAAGATAGTGACGAAAAAGAGAAAAAGAAGAAAAAGAAGAAGGACAAGAAGTCTAGCCAGAAAGAAACACCCAAGGATGATACGATCAAGATGGAGGATGCACTATTGGTCGAAGATAAAACGACAAATGACACCTCGTCTTCGCCACTTAATAAACTTGATGCTGTGAAAACATGCAACGAGGAGGACAACATTGAGAACAGGATAGAATGTATCGCGAGTGAGGCACCTATTGTACCAATCAAAGAGGAATTCGAGGATAAATCTCTGGCGATGAATCCAGAACCGCCAGAATTCAATGAGCTCAGTCCCGGCAGTGGTCGTCTTGATCGCGCAGAATTTGGTACTAATCCACCGAATCCGAATTTCAAACCAATTCCAGAACTTAAATCGGACATAAAACCAATTGATAGTCTCTATGGCGGACTGGATGACACGGAGATCAACACTGTGATCACAGAAAAGTATTCTCTATTATCGGAACATTCGCAGACTGAGACGAAAGAAGTAACCACCATGTTATCAACAGAAAAATCCCCGAAAAAGGATGAATTCCTGGCTCCCATACCCGAGTTATCCAAGTGGGAGAGAGACGACACAATTGAAAAGCCCGATGACAATAATACGAGTGAATCACCAACGGAGAAAATACAGAGAGAGGACGAACCGAAGTCAATGAAGATGGTTACTTCAGAGGTTCTAAAGCGAGCAGAAAATGCCATATTTCAGAAAGCTATCAATGCGATTCGACCAATCGAGATTAAGAAGATTAGCGAAAGTAGGAAGATATTATATCAAAATCCCGAACCTAAAGTATTAGAAACGGTAGAACCAACCCCTAACCGAGAACCGCGAAAGAGCGTCAATGTAACGATTAATGTTGGCAGAAACGAGAGAAATGTCGAGATCACAGAGCCAGTAAAGAAAGCTAAGCTTGACCGTACCAAGTTCAAGCCCGTTCCAGAGACAGCTTATTCACCAACCAGGCTGTCCGCCAAAGAAAGACTAGGTGAGAAGATCGAGGAGGGTAAAGAGAGAAAGATCAGCCCTGTAAAAGGATTTCTAGAGAGGCGCGACATGAAAAGTGAGAATCAGTCGAGAAGTCGATCACCTAGAAGAGAGAAGAGGATTTCTCCTACGCTTCTAGAACGACGTGTAGAGCCATCTTCGTTGGGTTTGGCTACAAGCGGCGAACGAAAGGTATATCTGGATGAGAGAAAACGGGACAACAAAGATAGAGGCGACCGATCGAAGGAAAGGTCTGATTTTCGAGGCGACAGGCACGGTGGCGATTTGCGGTCAGAGAGAGAGAGTAGAATTGATTGTAGGACAGATTTTCGCTCAAATAGAAATGATATGAAGGGGGAACGCGTGGAAAAAGATCGCGATAAGGAGCGAGATCGTGAACGCAGAGGTAGAACGCCTCCTCCGTCTTGCGCTTTCAAAAGAACGGATATGACGAAAATAAGTTTATTAAAATCGAAAGATGACGAAGAAGAAAGAAGACGTGATAAGAAGCCGCGAGAAGAGAAAAAGAGGAAAAAGGAACATCGTAGCAGAAGTAAATCTAAAGAACACAAAAAGCGCAAAGAAAAGAAACATAAGAAAGACAAAGATAAGAATCAGGAAAAGAAACAGAAGCACAAGGAAGGTGCAACTTCAAAAGATGGAAAGTCAGATGGCAACGAGACCAAAATCAATTACGAGAATATCGAGCCGCCTCTGGCAGAGTCATTGAAGAAACAGAGAAAGAATCCAAGATTGGTATCCGATCGCAAGCGTAGTATACTTGACGAGGCGAGTTTCGAACCCGATTACTCTGCCTCGGACTCGGAATCAGATGGTGAGGATGGGAAAGGGTTGCAACCAGCAAAGAAACTGAAATTGGACGAAACGGAATTAGACAAAGAGATAGAAATGAAGTCCTTGAAGAAGCGATCTAAGTCTAGTAGTAGTGAGGATACATCCAGCAGTTCCGACACAACAAGCAGCGACTCGGACAGTAGCGATGAGTCGCATAAGAAGAAGAAAAAGAAACATAAAAAACATAAGAAAAAGAAGTCAGCTAAGAAAGATAGTAGCTCAGACTCGGACACTTATTCGGACTCGTCTGACAGCAGTAGCGACGAGGAGAAACACAAGAAGAAGTCAAAAAAATCAAAGAGCAGGAGCAAGCAATCGAAGAAGAAGAAAAAATCTAAGCATAAATGACATCACTAGATATTTTTTATGCTTCATCAAAAAACACTTTACCTGAGAAATAAAAACATATTTTAAAAAAGCGCAAAAAACAAGAGCTTCTTTTCTTTGAGCGCTTTCAAATATTATGAGGATATTTTATTTTCATCAATTCTATGAATAGATTATGCAATCAATGATATATGCATTATTCGCATATCTTTCAGATAGAATAATGATTATTTTGTACTTGTAATATTGTCCAGTTCAACATAAAATTATTTTAGACAAGAATAATCTCTAGCAGTAGATTATTTATTGGCGTGAAAAAAAAATAAAATGTTTTTGACAAGTGAGACAAAGTGGGTTGATGAATGAAATAGTAGAAAAAAAAGAAAAAAAAGCAGCATATACATATATAAGATATAGAGAAAAGTTTCTCTAACTTAAAAAGAGGAACAGGTAACATTATATGGCCTTTGCATAATTATCACGTTCCGGTTTGGTATATTAAAATAATGTATGTAAGTTTATTATTGCAATAAGTAATGTACATTGTTAGCTCATGTGTGTACCTTATGATATAATTTTATCGAAAAATATATACATATATAAGTCTTAAAATCCATAATTATATAATGAATCAAGAACAATATCATTTAAGATCTCTGCTCTCAGCATTATATTGTACTTTCATAATCTAATGTCAATATGTAAGAAAAAAACGTCACGAAATAAAAAAATAAAATTCTTTTAATATTTTCTTTATCTCGTCAAAACAAACCAATCGTATTTTATCATAGTTTATTGTTTATTATAATTTTCTTGTAATATATTTTAAGGAGACTATAATCTATATACACACACACACACACACACACACACACACATATATATATATATATATATATATATATATATATATATATATATATATATAATGAAATGTGAGACTTTAATACAGTCTCCCTTAGATTATTTTTTTTATTGCAATGAGTATGATTTGTATACAGTTCAATTTGTGTATACATTTTCATGTATTTGCATATATAAAAAGATATATCTAAATGATCTATATGTAACATATATCTGAAATAAATAAATAGCATTTAAAAAGCGCGATTGGACATTAAATAATTTATATATATGGAATATTTATCATTAGGTATTTTTCAAATTAGTGAATGTTTGCACAAGACCACACAGCAGTGGTAAGTTCCTGCTCTTCTCATTGTCTTTTACTCCTAGACGTTGTGCAAGAAGCGTACGATCCAAAGAATGCTTTGGGAGATCGCATTCTGGAATAACATTTTTATATTCTTACTTGTAAGATGTTAATAAAAATACATTATATTTAATGCAATTTCTATTGTGATCTTTAATATGATGATATATGGCTATTATATTCTCTAAACTAGCAACATACCTGCGATAAACACAGTAGAACTATATTTGTATCCCATCCAATCCAAATATTCTCTCACAAGTTCATTGAGAAATATAATGTCATGAGAAGGTTTAACAATTTTTGACTTATTCTCTTTACTGGAGCAATCTAATAGCTTTATCACTTCTGTACGCATTTCTGCTTTTATACGATTAAGATCTCCCTCAGCCTTTAGCGAGTCCCTTACAGCTGCAAAATGTAAATATATTTATTTTGTGTTTTATAATTTTGCTGTTAATGTTTGTGTTCTTGAAAAATTAAATTATATAGAAAACAATTAAACACGTGTCATTAAAGTAAATAAAGTATCTCATATACATATCATGTAGTTTTGAATAAAGATAATAATAAGAAATAATAAATACAACGTGCAAAAATATCCGAAATCTCTTCTGCTGTAATAAATGTACACTGTAGAGAGAGAAATTGAAGGTTACTTGTCAAACAATCCTCGATAATATTCGATTCGTAATATTTATAATATGCAACATTTACATAGCTATGTACCATTAATTAAATCCTTTTCCGTTGCCATTTCACGCTGTATTTCACGCAATATCTCTCGAAGAAATCCGAAATAAAATGTTAGATATGGTTAGAATGTAATTAAAATAAATACCGCCTCTGATTCAAAATTCCTGCTTGACAGGGTTGCGTTCGAAGATCCTTCGTCGGAATCACGGTCGAAATAAAATAGCGTTCGATTGACCAATCAGAGCCAAGAGATCCTTGCTCCTTTCGTTCTGATTGGTCGATCGTACTCTGCCGCGACGAATGGATTTCTGAACTGTCACTTCAAGTTATGTACTTAGGTTTTGCGTGAACCTGAACTTTCTGCACTAATGTATGCTAAAAATAAAATAGATCTACTTAGAAATTAAAGAGAAAGAGAGGAGAAACAAAAAGTGCGGAAGTATTCAGTTCGAGAATAAAAAACAAATCTCTTGTTTATTCTCAAGAGAGCGGCAAATCTATTTCGACGCCTTCGTTGCCCTTTCATGTCATTTCGTTCCCTCTCCCCCTTCGCTCGCTTTCCCTCCCCCCTCGCCAATCGGATTCGTAACGTCGCGCGCTCCCAACGGCGCTAGTCTGACGTTTTCCGTTACAATCGAGTGGACGGGAGATCGTGGGCGATCGTGGTCAACGGTCAACGGTCAACGGTAGCGATCTCGCAGTTTATTTCGTACGTAGCGCGCGCGCGCGCGTTCTCCCGATTACGGCGAGCTTCGGAGCATCGGCAACTACGACGATTCCCTTCTTTCGCGAGCGATCGACGACGACGACGACGACGAGGACGACCGTCGCACCACCGTTCGCCCTTTCATCTGTATGCCTCGCGTACGCCCCCACCGTCACCGATTTTCCATGAGTAAGTTATTTATTGATTTCAAAAGGGACATACTTTCTTAATAATACGCGCGTGACGACGACCTCCAGTTTTCTTTTTTCCCCTCCTCCGATGACTGTCAAGAGCTTGCGAGCACGAACGAGACATTCCGTGCCGTCCGGTGTGTAATTTCATGTAACGACGCTCGCGGATCGAAACTCGTGCGCTTTCCTACTCGAAATCCGTAGCCGAATATATCTTGGGTAGAAATGTAGAAATGTAGACTGTGTAAAATGGCAGGTCAAAGAGAGTACTTATATACATACATCACGTATTTTGCTTCGAGCGAAACAGGGAATGGGATCGTGGAAACTGGATTAAATTGTTTGCGTGCTCCCCGGCAATTTAAACTGCCTTCGAGTCCTTATAAGGATGAGTATGAATGAGCGACTATATCACCTCCTTTCGTTTCTATGCGTGTTTTTAAATGTTATTGAAGTTACTGTTGCACTCCTGTATTTGTGATACAATGATGTGTTGAATATCTTTATCTTTCACCTTGTTTGCAGGTGTTTTAATTTTGAGATATCAATTTTTTTTCTAGATAAGCGATAAATTAGATTTTCTGCGAATCAGGATGAGGGGATATTTATTAGCTAGTAATAAAACTGTATTTTTCAAATTAACTTATGTTTTTTATATTTGTTACATACTGATAATTTGTTGAAAACAATCTCGTTGCACTAATAATAATATGTATAATCTTATCTCACTTATTACTCAAATATTATAAAAGATATAATAAAAAAAGAATAACTAGTAATTTTAAAATATGATTTTGTGATTCATATCTTTATGAGATATACTCTTACACATACATACACACATCTATATATGTATGTATGTATGTGTATATATATAAATATATTCATTTATACGTATATATATATATATTTTTTTTTATTTGTATATATTAATTAAGCATCTATTTGTTTGAATTACAGATGTTAATATTGTCTTCCTAGAGCCACTGGTAATGCAAATATTCTTCCTTGATCTGAAATCTGCAAGATGGTTTTCGTCATCCAGTTCCAATTTTAGCTGAGAGTAATATAGAAATGTGAGCAGTGACTGCATATTCACAAATGGCACAGAGCATTCACTTTTACATCATTTATGAATAAGTATGAAATGCAATTGTTACTAGTAACTTAACTTGCATTTTAATAAAAATTAAAGCAATATAAATATATGATTGAAAAGATTATCATATATGTAAAATTAAAATAACATACACTTCTCTAATATGCATTAATAATTTTTAAAGTAAGTGCAACAATGCTAAATAAAAAAGTATTTAATAATTTGGAAAAATGTAATTTCGATTTGATTTAATAAATATATATTTAATAAATATATATTAATAAATATATATTTAAATAAACAGAAATATTATTAATACACTAATGATACAGTTACAATATGCAAATGATTTCTCTAATTGTAGAGCGAAACGAAATCGGTCCAGCTTGGTGGTAATGCGGGGATGTGGATCTGCTTCGACCCAACAGAAAGCCGAGTAGGCTGGGGTACTTCCATTTCATTTGTTGTGCTTCTGTACTGGACCTCCATTACCATCGATGCCAGTTTAACAAATGCAGCCGCGTCCAATGTCCCACATAGTACCGTCACGTCGGAGGTATCGCTACCAGCGTCGGCACACCACGATAACGACGAATGCAGGAATGTGACCACTGACAATAGAGAGGGTACATTTGACAATTCATCGTTTGCAATTAATCCGAAGGATGAATTTCGATTTGCGACGACTATTTTATCGGCGAAATATGTTGCTGTCATGTTTGTACAGGTACTGGACTGTCAGTGGTCAGCCATGGATCCGGTTATCCTCATTCGCCGATAGTGCCTCCAACTTTTCTGTACGGAGCTCTTACCTGCCAACCCTATCAAGGAATTTACGTGAACCACATCTACTTTCAACTCGCAAATGCCTTCTTCCTATTGTCTCACCTTGCACCAAGCGGCATACATGGTGTACTCTATTTAAGGTGCACTCTACTCGTGGGCTGTGCCTTTCTTGCTTTGTGGGGCTGGACAATAGCTTGCTGGCTGGATGCTGCTCTCTGGAATGCTCTCTTTGTTGCCATCAACTTCGTCCATGTATGCACGCTTCTTTACAAGCTCAGGCCTATCAAGTTTACCAGGGAAATTGAAGAGGTAAGTGAAGAACAAGTAGAAGACGATGATTTAAAAGATAATGTGTCAATATCTGGTTTTAAAAATCATATTAGATTCTTTTAAGATTCATAAATATTTACGATTTTTTATTTTTAATAATCTATCTTGTTCCTTTTAGAGATATTAGAGGAATGAATTTGTAGAGTGTCATATATATATTTATAGTTCTCCAGCTTATAGATAATTTGCATGTTTATTTCTTTTTAATTATAGATATAATATCTTGTATAAAATACTGATATATTTAATTATATTAATAATTTGCAATGCTAATACAATAAAAATTATACATAAAATAATTTATATTTCAAAATATAACATATAGAATTAGATAATGTGGAAACATTCTCGTTTATTTATATATTCTTTAGAATTTTTTTAATTATTGTATATCATATAAATAGATATATTAAGAACTTGAAAAATAGTGAAATACATGATGACCTCTGTAATTTGCTTCTTGTCTGGTTGCAGCATTTGTATTATACACAATAATTTTTTATATATTTATTTTTGCACCATTATTACAAATACATTATTAAATGATATATCTTTTGCGCCTGTTAAAATCAAGTTTGTTGATCAAGTGTTATGAAATTTAGTGGCTGAGATCAATCGCTATCAATTCTGTTTTAGATGTGATAGAATTTGTTTCTAAATAATAAGCAAGTACCAATAACGACAATATAACCACTAATATATTTACAATGTAGTTTAATAATGCAAATCATCCCCTCAATATGTTAAATTTATTTTCACATTTCAAATAATCAGGATTAATAATGTTCAACAATCATCTTCTTTTACATAGGTATACATTGCAGTGTTCCAGCCACTACGGGTTTCTCGTCATCAATTCAAAAAAGTATTAAATTGCATGAAGGTCATTCGCCAGTTGAAGTATCAAGAGGTTTATGCACAAGAAAAAGTGACCAAAGTCGATTCTTTATCATTGGTGCTGTCGGGAAAGTAAGAATGCATTGTTTAAGTCTTATTTAAATCCTTTAAATGTATTTATTTTATAGGTATATTTATAAAAGCTCTTTAGATATTAGAAATATATATATATTTTTTTTTATCTTCATTATTTAGATTAGTTGTCTCACAAAGTGGGAGAGCATTGCATATTGTCTTCCCACATCAGTTCCTGGATTCTCCAGAATGGTTTGGTGTTTCGACAGACGAATATTTCCAGGTAAATTACCAAACTTAATCAAATTTATTAATAAATATATAATATAAATAAAATATGTATTTGTCATATCAGCAAGTTCTTTTATTCCATAGTTAGTGCTTCTTCAACAGGCTTATCAAATATTTCCAATAGATGTCGATATAAATACTTAAAATAAACATTATATATTTACTTAGGTATCCATAACAGCTATGGAAGAATCGAGAATATTATTATGGCATAGGGACAAACTAAAATTAAGCATAATTAGCGATCAATTCCTGCAGGCAGTGTTTGATCACATCCTGGGAAGAGATGTAGTTAAGAAATTGATGCAGGTACAATTTTATTATTGTATATTAAACTAAAATATTAATATATATAATTACTATCATATATTTAATATATAGAATTATTTTAAAAAACCATAAAAAATGAGCAATTTTTGTGCTCTGTAATTAAAAAAAAATAAATCATTTGTTAAAAAAAACCGGTAATATACAAAAAATAAAATATATAAAAATACAAATATATTTGTATATTTGTATTTGCTATATTTACTTGTAATAGGTCAGTGAAACAATGGCTGCTAGCAATCATCAGCAGCAAAATGGACAGATAATTGGTCTGGGTGGAATAGGAGCCTTAGAAAATGATGCTGATACGAAACTTTTTGTTGTAAAAAAGACTGGTGACAGTCAAGGCATTACTGCTCTCATTAGTCGTCAACTTCAAGGTATGTATGTTCATTTTTACCTACGATTTTTATTCTTGCTATTGAAGAATTTAACCAAAAATGTACATGATAAATTGTCTTCCTTTTTTGTATTACTTTGAACTTTGCTTTTATCAATATTTTTTATTATATATTGTGTGACACTATTTTTCTTTTTAAAAAGAAACTGTATCTATACCTTGTATATTTCTTTATTAGTTTTTATTAGCAATCTTTTCCCTATAGTTTGCAAAATGCACATTCTTTAGAATTCAGGCATGAGCATGTCTTATGTGCATCCAATGTTTTAATTCATTTTTATGTTCTTTCTTTATTTTCAATATAATTTCTATAATAAATAAAATTCTATTCGTTATATATATATATATATATATATATATATATATATATATATATATATTTTTTTTTTTTTTTTTTTCTTTTTTAATTTGTATTATGTTGTTATAATTTGCACCAATCAATATAGTGACTATTTACATAATACATTATATTAATTAAAATCGAATAAATACAAAATAATTAAGAAAAAAATTATTAAGACAGTTATTTTTTTATTTTAAATTTATATTTAGCATTTTATGAAATATATTATCATATTTATTTCAAAGTAATACAATGTTTTGTCATTGAATTGAAATAGTAATGATTAATACGTGTTGTAAATACGTGTTGTCATATTTATTTATATGCACCTTTTTTATTAATTTTGCATCAATTTCGATTTTGCTTCGGAAATAGAAGAGAGAATGCCACTACTATACACGAGCCAAGAAGTATTGAATAATACCTTACACCATACAAATCCTTTACGTGTACCATCCTATACACTCCCTTCACATCCTATGTCGTACAATGTTCAGACTTCACTGTAATATCCTTGCCTACCAATTGTGCAATCTAGCACAAATCGTGTGCTGTACATGTTATGTTCCTGCAATGGATGCGTATACATTATACAAATGTCAAAGAGTAACATCATTTATTATTCTTCCTGGATATCATATTAAAAGGTGAGTTTTCTATATTTTCAAAAATTATTGTCCATAATAAATGAGAAAAACAATGTTTATAAAAGAGATTTATTAAACATAATAGTATTTTTAAAGGCATATTTAATTTTAAAAATCAATACTAGTAATATTGAAAAAGAAGAATAAATTATATTAAAGTATTTAGATTTTTGCTCTATCTTTTAGTTTCTTTATTTTTTTTTTATTAACACAAAAATATTATAAAGACTTGTTTTATCTATGTAATGTCGATCTTAAAAAATAATGTACAATTTGTACAATTTCTTTATGATAAGGAAATATAACTATGATATAATATGTATCTCAAACAAGTCTATTTTTAAATGTGATTTTTACATGGTAAACAATATGTTATAAGATAGTTCAAAAAAATTTATTTTTATTTTACAGCGGCAGGAGATCCAAATGCTTGGAGATTGGGAAGAATTGAAGAGACTGATCATGAAACACCTGTTTAATGGAAGGATTATCAAATCGATGTCATCCTCGACAGTCAATATAAAGTAACACCGGTGTTTTTACATATGCGATTACAACAAGCTGATATTCACTGTGACTAAAAAAATGGCATGCTGAAACTGTGCATAAAACAATTGAACATTCTCTTGCCAATTAATAATTTTCCCAATGACTAGTCAACTGTATGCGATAATAAGAGAAAATTCCATCATTTTTTAGCATATATTGAATTCCAGTCTAGTTTATAAACCAACTAACAATAAGTTTATGCTTCCAGTATATTTGTTGGGTATGCTTGAGCATGTTGAATTTAAAAGAATGGGGTTGTATTTATAATTTACTTTAGTAAAATCGATATGTATTCTGTGATGGATGAATAATGGATTAAGACTTTATAAGTATGCAGGTGTGTGAAATGAGGGTGACACGTTTCGCAGCGGCGTAACTTCTGTCAATGTGAGGTCTGTGATGTCACGGAGGGATTTTTGATAGAAGTCAGGGAGGCCTAAAGAAACTTCTTTCCCATACCCAGAAATAGTGCCTTTTTACTTACACTTCCTTTCTTAATGTTTCCATGGAGAAGATATGTACAATATTATGATATGCGCGTCATATAACTTATATATATGACTTACAATATATTTATCCAATGTATCTAGTAGAGTTGTCCAAATATCGCTGTATTACATGTTGTGATACTGTTAAGCAACCGGTGTTCACATGAGTGAAAGAAATACGAAGTTACGCCATCATTAATACATTGGATGTTAAAGTGCGATGTGTAAGGAACATTGTTGCGAAGTTTATATCGCTACATTGCTGCTAGAGATGCCGAATTGCGTGTAATTTTCAATATTTAACGGAAAAAATTATTCCAAGTTGCTATACAGAGTAACATTGTGATCATAAACATAGCGCGTTCATTTAGATGTTGATTATTATTGTTGTATTTGTTTGTGTATAACGACGATTATTCCATATATTTTTTTCTTGTATTAATGAAAGTAAATATTTTAACATTTAAAGTATATATCGCGAGCATAAAACAAATCGAAGGTAATTAATTAAAAAAAGTCAATAATTTATCGATAAAAAATAAAAACAATAATGGAGTAATAAAATTTTAAAACAAAAAATCTCGAGTTTAACGATTAAAATTTCAATAGTATTTAAATATATATTATCGAATAAATAATCATTTTGGAAACAACTTTATTCAGTCTTTGGAAATATCGCATCAAAACATTAGAAAGTTGCTGAAACAAAACAATATTATATCCATTTAAGATTGTAATACTTTAAGAAGACTTTTTATATATAAGGTAATATGCTATTCGGATATTGCCGATAATTTACCGCATGATATAATTATTCTCTATTATGACACATGTCCATAACGATATTTTGAACACTGAAAATATCATTTTACGTAGCAAAATATTGAAATAGGAACGCCTTTTGATATATATAAGTGTAAAATCCAGGACCATAAAATTTAACCCTTTTTGCATATATGATTCGTATACTTTCCATATGAATGTGTGAATTATATGTTATTCAATCTTTGTTGTTTATCGTCTCTTATTGTTGTTATGATTATTTTTGTACATGAAATTGTTTTTTAGTATTATAGTTAGAGATATGTAAAGAATGGCTGATGAAATGGAAAAAATTTAAATCACATTGGATACAATAAGAATGAGTATGAAGTGGCAACACGAATAAAGAAAGTTAGTTTTAGAGATAGAAGCGATATTTTATTATACCCTTTAGTTCTTATTTTTTTTTATCTTTATAATGATATATTCATATCAAATTTTTAGCATCATTGAATCAAATATATGTATATATAAAACTATAAAGAAAGGTATATAAAGATGGAGATAGAAAACGAATGATAGATATATAAAACAAAATTGTTTGTTTTTAGTGATTTTATTTTTTTTAATTAAAATTGTATCGGTTAAAATATTTAAAATAATTTTTCTTAAGAAGTGCAATCAAAATTATATTTTATATTTTAATAGAATCTAAATATTTGAAGCAAAGATTTAAAATTCAGTAATACTAAAAAAACTTGCAAAAGTAGCTAAAGCTTCTTCCAGACTTTAATTATTAGCTAATTATTTTTTCTATATTATAAACATTTTAAAAAGCATCAGTAACATTTTTTGATGTAAAGGTGAAATACATCGGAAGATGTCAAGCCCATGTGATACCAATTCAGACGATGACGTAAACTCGTTCTGTCTTGTTTCTTCTCCCACCTACATCGCTTTCGCGTGTGTTCCTTTATTCTCTTACCTCGTTCTTGCAGCATCTTTTCGCGCCCATAGCTGCGTGACGCCCGTTAATTGAACGAGAAGGAGAGGAATGCCATCTTTTTTTTGTCTTTTTTTTAAATCTAAACTCGTCATGCTCTACCTTTGTCTTATCATGACTTATCTCCATCTTTTACAATTTTTACATATCGATTGTAAATGTAATTCTTCTATCCTTTCCTGACTTTTTTCTCGTTATATATCCTTTTTCTACTATCCTTCATCTCTATCCCATACTTATACGATACAGCATTATCTCTCTCTCTTTTTTCCTTTTTCTCCCTTAGAAAAATAGCTCTAGTGCAAAATCCCTTCTTGTTTCATTTTCTCAATCGTGCTATCTCTTTTCTTTTCGAGACATCAAAATCGTAATTATGATCATTCTTCTTTTTTTCTTTTACATATTTCTATGTAGATAATTTTTTGATACGCTCTTTTGGCAAATATCTCTCTCGCGCAGTTAGATCATTTTTCTTCGTCCGACTCGGCCGCCTCTCTTTCTCCCCTTTCGCTCTCTCTTTCTCGCATGCGCGGTGAAATCATTCGTCTCTGTCGGATTCGATCGTGCTTCTCCCTCCCACTCGTTCCTCTCCCTCCCACTCCTGCGCGAAGAGTGGCGCCACGAAGCGAATGGCCGCTCAGTCTCGACTCTCGCGTTGGTCGTAACGGACGTTCTTTCCGTTTTGCGCTTTTCTCCCACGCTCGATCGGTCCCATGGAGGACCGTGGGCCCAGTAAGTGCAGTGCAGTGTCAAAATAAGAGGACAGAGCGCAGAAACGATTCAACGGATCAACAATGAACGAGAGACGTGTACTCGCGACGCGAACAACGACTCGATCGAGATAGGTACTTCGACATCACGAATAAGCAATTCCTTATACATGTATTCGCTTATTTATTATATGCATCATTCGACTCCTTATGACGTTAAGATGAAGAAAAAGCCGCAACAGAACTTATAACGAATCTGCGTGATCGATTTCGAGACGAGTAATTAAAATTCGAACGAATTCGAGAGGTAACCAAGCGCGCGAAAAAGGCGCCATTTGAAAAAAAAAAATCGCTGTATATTAAAGCGTGCTAAAGATAGATTGGCAGTATTGAAAAATGATACGCGTATATGTTCATTCATATATGACGTATTGCCAGTCAGTTTAAATGAAACGTAACTTTTAGAAAGGACGACGCGCGTCGTGTAATTGATACAGCTGATCGAGAGGAAGAATCGCGTTTAAGTATCGGCTTGTGTCGGCATTGATGTTACGCGAAAAGTGATGATCGAAAGTTACGTGAGTTACGTCAAGTGGAGGCTTGCTATTGAAGAAAGCCATTCGATCGGCCTTGCAAGTTTATAAAAGGTTAGTCGAGGAAGATTGCAAAATTGCCAAGAAAAAAAAAAGACAGAGAGAGAGAAAGAGAGTAAGAAAGTGTGGCAGAGAGAAAGGGACAGAAACAAGGTTAGGAATTCTATTGGGATGTCGACATACAGGAGGTGGATCTTGTGGCCGGCGAGGACGCGTTTTCGACACTTTGCAAAACCGCCGATGATCCATCGCAGCTGAGATTATTGATGATCGACCGGGCCGATTGATCACGTTATCGCGGAACTTTCTTCCGGTGATTTGCGCCTCTACGCTTGTATCTCGAGTTGGCGAACGCGCGAGAGAAAGAGAGGAATTTCGCTGTCGCTCGGTGTCGTAACGCAGCGCGAATAACCTGGAATTATTCTCGGGAGATTTGGAAAAGGAACAGCAGGTGAGAGACTCGTTTATCATAATTACTATTGTATCACAGGAAATCTAGAATTATATTTTTTGTTTTAACACTTAGGTATCGCGTTTCTCGCTTCGGAAGTAATCTTTTTAATATCTTTTTATCATGAAATTTCTCTTCTTAATTGCAAAAAATTTATTATGATATACATTCGCAAATTATTTTGTCTGTAATGTAAGTATTCGTATAAATATTATGCTTGCACGCTTGTCTGATTCACGCCATAAACATTTTATGTTTATAAATATAAAATAATAAAAAAAAGAAAAAGCAAGAATATTCTAAATCAGCAATTTATGGGTATATATTTCTGTAAATTGTATTATATCAATCATAGATTTTAAGCACTATATATTCTTGAATTTATTAAATTTTTTTTAATTATTAGATTTAAATTACAAAAAGATAGCATCATTTTTTTATGTCAAAAAATCTTATATATTAAGTTTAGCAGACACTCAAGGATACACTTGTTTTAATTAAGCAGTTTGAAAAAATATATAAATACACATATTAAATAAATCAGAAAATAAAATTAAGAAAATAAAATAAAATAAATAGAATAAATTTTATATTGCTTTATTTATTTTTTTATTCTTTTATGTTTATGTAAATTTATCGATAATTAAATCGGTTCAATTTGATTTAAAAATTGTATTTTCACCGACATTTGTGTCTGAAAATAATTTTGAAATGTTTGATATATATTTATATATTTCTGGATATAAATGAGCGTACAAATAAGAAACGCATGATGATAAGTCGAATGAATAACGTCAACTTAATAATCGCTTTAATAACGACTGTGCAACGAAAATGAGCCCAAGGCTTCAGCTATTTATTGGGCTCATCGGTACCTCGCGTTGTAGGCGAGCTTTAACCAAATATGCAACTACCAAGGTTCGAATGCTCTCATACTGCGAAATCGTGTGGGTTATATAAATATTTCGAAGTTGTTATTATGGAAATGGAAAGAGCAGGTTTCCAGAGTGGGCAATAAAATGTCGCAAAAAAAAACAGAGGTTTATCTTTCGATTTAATCGGTACGGTTTATAGTGTCGATTTTTATAAAATTAATAATAAGTATTACAGGTCTCTTTACGCAATTAAGCGCATGCACAAAGTATGCCGTTAAAATCGCCAGAAACTTTTTCGCTCTACACGTTTCTTGTACAGGCATTAAATTCTTCAGTGATTTTAACGCTTTCAGAGCATAAGTATATTATATTAACATTCGAGCACTATTTGCATACTATATTACAGGATTAATTACATAATTTATAATGTTTTTGAATTGTATTAATATGCATATATATATTTATTGTATTAATATGCAAAATATATTAAAAATTATGTAAAATATATTAAAATTGTATTAACATAAATTTCTAAATGATTCATTATTTTCTACTTATATAATTCTTATTACTTAGTTAATATTTATTCAGTTTATTACCTTGAATTATAAAAGATGTGTATATTAGATGAGAAGATGCACATATTAAATTTATGTTAAGGATAACTCGTGTCCTCTATAATGAAGAACATAATGTACAGCGGTTACTGCGCTATTTTCTCCAATTTTCTAGTCGGGAGAAAGAGGATTCCAGGCGTGGGACTCTTCCCACGTAAATATCGCTTGTTATATTGTCCTTGAATTTTTCGATTATCTATTTCGTGACTCCCCCGCATATTTAAACCGAAATCTTAAATCACCTGCGCGACAGCTGTTTCCGTTGCGAAATGTCCATACTCGCCGTTCAAATCATTCGACCTTGCTAAATCAGCACTGATATTAATAAAAAATTTTAAAGTGATTTATGCTAATCTTTCTAATAATAGAGATATAAGATATAAGATAATCTATATTTTTAAATAATATATAATTTATTAATAATATTTTAAAATCATTTTATTAATAATAATTGTTATTAATAATAATTATTTTAATAATTCTTTTTTACTAATTAGTAATTTATTATCAATATAAAATTATTATTCTATCTCCTCATTTTTCTCGAAAAAACACTTTGTCTTTCAAAGTAGAGATTTTTTTTCACCCTCGACTGCAACGAGCATCACGAAGGACATGTCCCTGGCCGCGATCGCGAATCTGATCACGATAACCCCGTACCATAAGAAAGGAAGCCACGGGACGTCGTTGCGCAGGGATGTCGATCCCAGCAGTCTTATAAATCACGGAGCATGTCGCGATATAACATCCGGTGCCAGCCAGAGTCTGAAAGAAAGAATTCGTGATAACAGTCGGCCATAGCGACCATGGTGGTCCGGTAGTGGTCGAGGTCGATCATATTTTCCTTCGTCGCCGCCTATCGTGGTATACTAAAAAGTGAACGTTGCATCGTGCATCGCCGCCTCCGCCTTCGCGAGCAAACATGTCGCGCTTTCTCGGCAGGCAAACGCCTGCATCCAAACGTTGCGAATGGGCCTCGTTATATACTAACCCGCTTGAAAACGTTCACCGTCTGTCTCACCATTGAGAGGGAGAAAGAAGGGTCGATTTTAACCCTCGGAGTTCAAGGTGAAATCATCACGAAATATCGCGATTCTTGTGCTTTTCTTTATCTTGTTTTTATTTTTATTTTTTTGCACAGTCGCAGACCGTTTTAAACTGCGATTTGATTGTGGAATGAAAAATGAAAGAAAAATGCGAATTTTTATTATATTCTGTGTCGATTTATAGGATATTGTAATAGAGGATAAGGTGACTGTTCTCTTCATGAAACTACTCCTATAAATTAGATGAAATTAACATGGGGAATGTGTGAGCGATACAGCTCTCTGAAAGTGAGCTCAAGGTCGATAAAGAGAGTAAGATATAGTGATAGGAAAAGAATAAAAACCGGATTGTATAGAGCGAAAGTGATTCAGTCGCCAACTCTTAAAAATTGCGTTAGATAAATATACAAAAACTTATTACTCTTTTCTAATGATATATACATAATATAATAATGAAAAAGTTTGTTAATCGAGAAAAGCTAATTTTCTTTATAAAATCTATTATACTTTTCTAGAATTATACAATGTAAACCAAAATTTAGTATAATCGGCAAGAAAAGATTTGTTACGAAAAACATTGAAAGAAAAAGTAACTTTTTTATACAAAGTTTTGTTATCAAGAAAAATTTTAAAAATTAAATTAAAATTTATTTATTTATTATTTTTTATTAAGTTCTAATAATTTCTAATATTGTGCGTATTATAATATGATTTTTGACTTATCCCACTTAATTATATAAACATGTAATAGATTTGCAAAATAAATAGTAATTATAATAATTTTGATTTTTTAATTTAATATCTTAAAAATATATTTCCTTAAAAAGAAAAATACGCTAGTCCAATTATTTTAATAAATTTATTAATGAAAGGAGTTAGTAATGATAAAAAAATATATTTCGGATAATCGTGCAAGCATGATGGGAAACGAATTTTTGAATTATCGCCTATATTTGGTAGAGATGATGTTTGCACAGTCGATCGTATTCTTACAGAGTTCGACCCAGTTATTAATAACACTTTCTCTTTTATTTTAGCCATGGACTGGAGGAGGGTCGCACTGGCATTTTTAGTGGTGAGTAATACAAAAAAAATATTTTTTTTTGCTACGCATTAAAAGTTTATCTTGAATGTAAGCGGCTTAGATATAATTATAATCATCTAATCGGGCTGATCCTTTGTTTCTTGCGAAATGCAAATTGAAATATGCTGAGAAATTTATATCATAGAATTATTGATATTATGAAGTTTTTATATGAAAAAAATCACATATAGAGAACATTGGTTGCATCCTTTCTTTTGCATTATATAATCTTATTGTGTAATCAAAATATATGTTTTCTATTTATACTATCTTATATATGATTTGATCTGAAAATATTACCAAATTTGTATTTTTTTTTCTATTATAGAAAATATGTAATCTGTTTGCATAATAAATGAATCACACATTTAAGATTGCTTAATTCATATCTAAATTGTTTTAAATCCACTTGCATTGTGTGCAATTCGCATGAAACAAAGCGAACATAATGTTTAATAATGACAGCAATACATACGAAGAAAGTATACGATCCAAATATTATTTGTATCATTGTATAATTATTCTATTGATAGTTTTATTTCAAGAAACTGATCGATCGATTATCCTTCTACTCGATTTGATATTCTAAAAGTCGAAAGACAAACAAAAAATAATATGTAATCAGAAATATGTGATCTGCAAACATGCTGTCGTTTCGGATAGCATAGATTAATGATGTCCGCAATATATACATATACTTTCTCCCGTGCGTGCTGCGTTGCATGCGTGTGTTGGTTCGGTATGTGATGCATTATGTAATCTCCTTTGTTGGCACGCAACACATCCCAGAGAAATATTTGCGATTCTTAAACCACGTCCATGTCAAACAATGGCAATTTTAATATTCAAATCGTTATCAATAAAAATTTGACGATTTAAAAAAGAATTCGAATTCAATCGCATTTATACGATTTTTCAAACAAATAGCAAATATGCGTTTTCTCGTTAATTAGTGAGTTTCACCCAGTTTTTTGAACCTTTAACGGAGAAATGTATCTCTCTCTTTAGCTAATATTTGAGTCTGTCTTTTTACATCATTGTCGAAAGTTTTTCAATTATAGTGCACTGGTTGAGATAGTATAATTGCCAGAAAACAATTTTCTTCTAGAGCATTTTGTTCCCTAGCATTTGTCAATCAGTATCAATTATAAAAGTAGAAAATATTTAGAGAATAAAAAATAAATTGTATACATTTTCTGGCTAATGAATATTTCGCAGATTAGAGCAGATAAATATTTATATAATATAATTATTTATATAATAAACAAATTCATATTTCACTGTTTTTGAAATATAATGTTATTTCGAATGTTAAAAAAATTTAAATTTTTTACTTATATAATTAAAATTAATTGACTCATTAAAATTTGCAATGCAATATATATTAATTTTGAAGCAAGAATCATATATATGACATTGAAATACGATGTAAACAAAAAGTGTAGTAATGTAAGTATTTAAGTATGACGGTTTATTTCGCGGTAGTTTCGGAGAATGTTATGTCACTATTCCGACAATAGTCGTGGGACTGTTCTCTTAATAGAGGTTGACGGATTTAAAATCTTTAACCCATTCAAGAGGCGGTGATCCCGGCGTTACGTAACACATAATAATTGACAATTACGCTAAACTTGGCGTTTACGTGGCTTAGAGAAGGTCTCTACGACAGAATCTTTAAAAGAAGCTAACGAATTGAATAGAACATAAATAAACTCTTCCGTTCATTGTTTTCAAATTTTCCATTGTTAATTTGATTACTTTGCACGAAATTATAAAATAAAATTCCAAAATTCAAGCCGTTACAGTTAAAATATCAGTGATTTGTGCTCTATTTATGAAATGTCATAAGAACTTGCGTCATAAGAACCTATATTCAATGCCATATAAATAACTTTAATGTTTGCAAATGTCTCTCATGAGAAAGTATTTCGTGAAATAGAATTTAAGTTTCTTTTTTTTGATGAAGCATGAAGCACGAGAAAGATGTGACAGGTTTGCGTGTCAAGTTTTATCGGAATATCATGCATATAAGAGGGAAAGACAATCCGTTCAGAACCACCACGCCTACTTTTACTTCGCGTTCTTTAAAATATCGGCTTGAGATCTTAGAGAGCCTGAAGCTTGTACGTTTCCATAAACGTTTCACTCTATGAGAGAGTCGGAAAGACTGTCAATAATCGGAAGAAAGTATGATGTTAAATGTGTTTTCGTAATGTTATGTATTCTTTCAATATCTTATTACAATGCGAAAAAATTCGATTAAATCCTGCAAACAACGTATTACGATTTTCACATGTGTTACATCTTTTTAAAAGATTTTTCTCAAAAGAGAAAAGTTATACAAACATTTCCAAATATTTTTTTTTTAAATCAGAAAATTATCTTCTCTGCACTAGCTGTTTGTGTGGAAAAAATTATTCTTCAAATGATTCAACGGATTAAATATATAATAGATACTCAAAGAAAGACACTTCAAAGTAAAAAATCTGTCAAGTATTCTATCTCTGTATATTATATAAACATAACTGACAGATCGTACGTGAAGTCAATACAATCATACAAATTTATTCATCCGTTAGAAGATTAGGATTCGTGAATTGAATCATCCGTTTAATTAAAAATCGCTAGAATCACGAGGTTAGACACATTTGATTGGCTGATGTAGGTTTCACGTGGGTACATTTAAAGTTCGGAAGTCACCGATTGAACTGGGCGCGATCTCCTCGCCCACGCGAAATGACAAACTCCTGGAAGTCTTGCTCCATCGAGGCAGCCTTGTGTCGGCAGGACGCTCGTCCGCGTTAAATAGTTAAACGCTCTGCTATGACATAATCGCGACTTCGCTCGCGGCGTTAAATCGCGACGTCACGTCACGTGAGCAGGCGCCGCGACAGGAGGAATTGCGTATACAAGGGTGACTAACTGGTAAGAGTTGCAGATTGTGTCTGCAATAGCGAAGGAACGAGTGTAATGGGCGGTGATTTCAAGGAGATCCCCTGCCCACGTTAGATCCGCGATCGCAGCTGTCGATCCACTGTCGTTTGCCGCTCCAATTACCTATTGAACTACTTGACTTGAAAGAGTCTCATGTTTCACGATGACGTTGACGTGGAAATCGCTATAATTTTAACTAATTCATATATTATAAAAATAAAATAATTAAAATATACAATAATAAAAATTCCTATTAATATCATATTATTAATAAAAATTCTTATGCTAATTGAATGATTAGTAGATCATTCCGACAATATCGAAAATAATGAAAGAAAATAATTTATGATTAATTGACATCGTTACATTCTCGTTAAAAATCGCGAACAAGTTTCTCAGTTTTTCTTTTCTGACGTGCTATAAAGAATATACGTTGTAGAAGATCAGTTCTCAGATAGATTCCATCGGATGGAACGTCACGATCCTTATATGGTGCAGTTTAACTGGTGAGTAACTGCTGCGCGTTATATCAAGGAATCCCGTCCCTGTATTTTTCGCGTTTGACTCGCGTCCACGCATTTTGATCCAATTATTACGAGAATCAATCTGGGCGATAGCGATTTCGCGATAATCTCGCCACGACCATTTATCAAATTAATAGGTCAGTATTCTCGCGATGGAAATCGGCCAGTTGCCAAGCATAGTTCCCTCACTGTCGCCTTCACTTGGGCGCGTTATTATTAGATAGAGTCGCAAATACAGTCTACGAGGGAGGAAGAGAGAAAGAGAAGTGCAGCGACCACGTCGCGTGTATACACTTGAATGGCCAGTGACTCGTTAGACCACTTTCATTGCACGGACGAACACGCGTCGACCAGGCTGACGTCAGTGTTTGCTGCGGAGACTCGTGTCGTGAAACTTTCCGTCACGTAAGCAAACGTCGAAGCGATCATTTAGCACTTCTGCACATACACATATGTACAGAATAATTTTTATTTCGATGTATATGGTATTATACGCGAGACATTCTCCACGTGGGAAAAAAGAGACGTGAAAGTTTCGTCGATATGGGCAAAAATTGACTATCACATGTATATCTGCACAGAAAAAAAAATAAGTGTCAAATTAAAACTTATATACTTAAATTAACGCGTTCATTGTTTCGTATATACGCAACAATTTATAATCTTCTTAGAAGAATTTAATAATTTTAAATTTCGACAATATTATTGTTTTATTTTAATATTGCAATTGTCACCACAAGAATATATAATTATTTAATTCTACTTTAAGAAAATTATAATCTTTGATTTAAAAATGTTATTTTCTATCTAACATTGTTTCTTTTCTATTCGAGAAAATTAAATCTTAAATCATAAGAATATATTTTTCTTGATTGAACTATATAAAATGGCTTCATTCAAGTAAGCAATTATATTTTTCTTTAATTAACGCAATATAATTTCATTTCAAAATTTTCATATTGAAATTAAATACATTTTCAAAACAAGAATGTCCTTTTTTTCTGTGTGATACATCCGATTCCATTCGTTTAGGCATCGATACCTAAATTGGAAACGATGGGGAAATAAAAGTATGTCGAGGGGAAATTAAGTCGTGGCGAGATACACGATCGTCCTTGTATTATTTACGCTCACCATCACTTCTCTTACCGACATTTCCACGAACATGTGTGTACACGGATCAGTTTTCACGTACGATATTTAATAAGTTATCGCCGATAAAAATGATTTATTCATGCGAGCGCATAAACCGCGATTTGCGCTGCTTTCGATTAAATAGTCTAAAAGCTGCATCTCTCGCGTTATAATTGCATTATGATCGCGCATTATGCGTTACGCGAAATTAACTGGTGCTCCAAGATGCACTACGATAATGAGTTTTGAATTAGATGAATGGAAGGCAATTATTGTACCCGTGTGTACATCGCGTCGCTTGTTAAGCTAAAAATAGACTTGTGTCGTTACATGTTTCACCGGATAACATAATTAGAAGCGATAGTTGCGGATGTATTAATGGGTTGCACGCCTTTTCCATTATCGAGCTAGACCCACGCGTTTTTTTTCACTTGTTTTTCACTCATTTACCATCTTGTAAGCAGAAGCTTTCAAGTCTCATTTAAGAGATTAATTATTATTTTATTACCTTCTCTCTCCGCGTTGAAAGATAACGGGACGTCACCGTTTTATGATTTTAAATGTCAATAGCAATCTTGCAAAATAATCTTTCTATAATCGATTGCAATAATCTTTTTATGATTGTTGCAATATATTATAAATCATGCAACCGAATAATCATCGACTCATCATTAATAATCTTCAATCAGTGATAATGTCGAGTGTTTTAAAAAAAAAACGATGCCTCTTCTACGCGAATTTTTATTAATATGGCGACAGTCAACCGGAATGATCTAATACCGTGGAAATTAAAATTATATGATTCATACATCTTGAAAGGTAAAATAACGAGAGAAGTCTAGTCGAGCTTGACATTTTCATGAGACTTTCATATCGTGCTCTTTAATCGAATGATGATCAATCATCGATTGATCGGCGTCGGTTAAATTAATGCTTGGACGTGAAATATGTTGGAAGAGCTATCACATGTATAAGGTGTTACAAAAATGTTTGAAATTACATTTGAAATTACACTGCTAATTTTATAAATTATAGAGAATTTCATCGTCAATTTCTTCAACGTATTAAGATGTGATAAATGAGTTTCCCATTTTTGCAATTAGCGCGCTTATTACGGTAGTATTTCTTTTCAAACAACGTGACCATTTTACAACGAGATAACATAAAACAGCATTATAGTTACGATGTATAATGATACTCTAAAATTATTTAGAAAATTCACAGATACGGAACTTAAATTAAATTTGAGTCAAGATCGTCATTCGCCAGACACGCCAATTACTTATATTGTAATTACTTTGCATTACTTTAATCGCACACATCCGTCTCGAAGCGTTTATAGTTCTCGAGAGTCCGGCACTTTTTTTTTCTCGCGCGTGCCTATTTCGTCATTGACTTCACCACAAACGTCGATGATATCACACTGCCAATTGTGGCAACTTGCCCCGTCACCGGGAATAATCTGCCGATAAATATAGATCGAATCTAAATAAAAGTGACGCGGAGACACTACTCTCTTTTTCCACGCCTTTCTCAGTGTTTACCTAACGTTGGTTATATATCTGGAATTTTACGTAATTTTTTCCACGACTTCTTTTTCCCCGTTTGTAAATTTCTTTTCCGCATCTTTCATCCATTGTCGACTACATCATTACATATTTATATCGTCTATAAATCTCACCGATCGGGCTCTATAAGTGTAGCCTTGAGGGAATTTTATTTAAGCTCATTAACGTGTTCTTATTTAAGCGTTAAATATTTAAACTTTTTACTCACGTTGTACGCATGTTATACTCGTATTACGTACAATATCGTGCATCTTGCGCTTGCATTCTAATTGTATTCGTGCGATACGCTCACTAACATCAGCGATAGCGCGGTTAAGTTAGCGCTAACAATTGTATCTTATTATGCGAAAGGATCTAACACACGTTGTCTCTTCTCTCTTTTCAGATCACAATAACGAGGCATAGCATCGCACACGCAGCCCAGATACCTCAACAGTTGCCGACGTGTGAGTATACAATGCGAGACTTACTTTCTAATTATTAGCGACCGGTAATGATTAATTAGAGTGAATTGGGCGTCAAAACTCGTGCATGCGAACATTCGCGACACACCTTTCGATACTGTTCTTTTTTTGTCTCCTGTTTCACCTCGAAATATAAACCATCGTCACATACGGTGGGTTTTCTCCTGCGGAAAAATCGCGCGTGCTATTCCTCTCGCGAAACCAAAGTGCCGGATAATCAGATAAAAGTGGACGCTTTCCACATGATGCACACTTTCTAATGACGGCACAATAAACCTGATGACAATGATTCCAAGAGGGATACTCGCAGTAACGAAGTATAACAATTTGGAAATAAACGTAATTACTAGAAAGGAGTAATTGATCTGCCGCTGTAGTTTCTTGTGTTGTTTCTTGTGTTGAAAAGAAAGAGGTTTAATTAATTACTCGGTTAATTGCTTACGTGCTTGGATCAATCACGTGCTTAAATATACACACGCACGTGAAGATGATCTAGAAATTTTATTTGCACTCAACATATTTAATTATGTATTATGTCAAATTATACAAACGAGATAAGCAAATATTGAATAATTTTATAACAAATTTTCTACGAGAAAATTTACTGTAATTATTAAAATAACCGTTATCTGTTAATTTAATTAATTCCAATTATCAAATTACTGCACGCGAGAGATAATTAATAAGCGAAGAAAATTATTCGCATTTCAAAACTTATATATTAACAGCCGACAAACTGAAAGAGAGGATTATTTATTCATTTCTGACATCGAAGGAATCTCCGATCGATCATAGAGTTTTTTTTACATTCGTCTGCGAGATCGAAAGCAATTAATCGAGTCGCGGACGGATAATTTAATGAAAGGGAAAAGCATAGTCGTTCGGAAGAGAGCCTTTTCAGACGAGACCGACCGACGACCTTCCTTGAAAGACATTGCTTTTGCTAGAAGGTGAACGCGGCCGTGCGACCTAGATTCTCATGTGGAAAGGAACGAAGTCGCGTTCGTAGGAGAGACGGAGAACGTGATATGAGATGCAAATGGCACGAAACGAGATGACGATTATAACCGAGGGACGAAGTCCCTCTCCCCCTCCGAACAGCGAGCATACAACAGCGTGATATCCGCCGCAGCATCGACGCGAATCGAAAGTCCCTGTAAATGAACAGGCGACGGACACTTTCAGGCCTTTTACCGCGCGAGAGACCGCGAATTTCACCTGTCGAATCAGCGGAAATGCAGCGTATGCACGATATATAGCTAGCTACAGAGACTTGCCTTTATTTACTTATCGATGATAATATTTCCGCAAATATTCTTTTGTCTCGATGATACAACGAATTCACCCTCTGTTAATCTGACAATGTCACATCGAAAAGTCAAATTTGGATGTGTAGTACAAATAGTTTTAATTTATTGCTAATTTGCTGCTCCAATCTCGATTTTTTCTCGTGAAGAAGGTGCTAGATTAATAGAGATCTCGTACAATTATTTTACATGCGATTTACAGACGGGCTCAACTGTCAATGTATGATAGACTAGTTCTCAACTCTCATGTTTAAAAAATTACTATTTAAAAAAATTAAATATTTTTTTATTTAAGTTTCAAGAATTTATAATTTGTTATAATATATTGTTTCGCGAGCTTTGGGAGGCATTTGTATGTATATATTGTTTTTTAGAAAATTATCAAACTTAAATTTTGATATCGATATATAGATTAGATAAAATCGCTGCAAATAGTTGATTTTATTCACTGAATCCATTCGCAGAAAAAGTGAAAAATTATAATTATGTCATTATAATTATATCATTATTTTATCATTATTTTATATGAATTATTTATTTTATGTAAAATAATTCAATCGCGAGAATAAATTTATACAACATGTTACGATAATGCAATAAATATGTGAGGTAAATTAATATGACATTTTAAATTGTAATTTTAGCATAAATTAATTTTATAATATTTCAATTGCGAGTAAATTGTAGATTTGTAATTTCTTCAGCAACGGATGCTTAGTATTAAAGAACGACTAATGAGAGAGATAAGTATAAGCTTTGTCTTATGGCAAACCGAAATCCATTGTCAAAGATTCTGCGAATGCTTTCAGACTTTTACTTTTTGTTATTTGTTCCGCTGGAATATCATCGCGAAATGCAGGAAAATGAAATTATTCCGTTCTGCCCTAATAAGAAACGCTTACGTTTTCTAGGCTTTAAAATTTATATTTTATTTTATTCGCGAGAAATAACAATTTTTCTAGGCTTTGAAATTTATATTTTATTTTATTCGCGAGAAATGACAATTTTTTTCATTAGTTCATTAGAAAGATTTGTATTTTCATTATACTACATTATAAGGAGCAATCACCATTAGAGTTGAAATATTGTTTGATGACTTTCAAATTGTTATTTCTTCACTCTCGAAGAGAAACTGCATCTTAAAAGAAAGTTTTTTACGCCTTTACCTTCGCATATAAATGTTCATTTGTACTCGCGAAGGACAAGACTATTATTTTCACATGCATTACAATAGCAGTTGCGGTTTGACTGCCCGATAACTAAATATCTAAGAGAGAATATTCTATTGAAAAGAAGCATTATTTTTCTTGACGAAGTACTAATAAAAAAATCACTTATACACTATAATATTTGAACACTAATAAAAAATTTTTTATTGATATATTTTGTGCACGTTTTGAAATCGTTTACATAAAATTTTATTAAATAATACATATGGGAAAGAAACAGAGTTGTGCACTTCATTTGTGTGTGCATTAATTGTGTATGCGAAATTGTATAATTACTGTTCTATGAATCTTTTTCTTCTAAAATTTCTTAAAGAACTTTATTTTTTATGCAAATTTTATTAAAGCATACATTTTATAAAACATCTCTAAAACATGTACAATCAATATGTCAAACAAATTTCTATTAAAATCTCTTTTTTCTTGAAAAAAATTTTTATCAGGCATTTTTTAAATGCCATTTTAATTATCTCATTCTCTTTTTCTTATTTTATTAAATCTCGTTACATATATAAAAAAATTGGAGCATTGAAAAGTAAATTATTCTATTTATCGTTCTCATGCGGTTGACTGATATGCATTAAAAACGCATTAAAATCTTGGAGAAAACATCACTTTCCATTGGAAAAAATCGCAATCTTAATTGGCTTTTATCCAGATAGATGTTCTAAAATCACAGAGTGGAAACTATGCGAGAAGCGAAAGGAATTCGTGTAAATTTCCAATATGAGAGAGATGGATAAATCATTCTAATAAATGAACAAAACATAACACTTGAGGAATGATTAATCTCTGAGAAAACATCAATATAAGATTCATAGAAAGATACGCGACAGAGAAAAGATGCGACATGTTGTGGAAAAAATTTAGGTCGTGCGAATCAGATTGTTCGCTTTTTACGTGGTCGCATTTAGTGCATATTTGAATATGTTGTTTTCCTATATCTTTGAAGAATTTTTTGCATTGTCTCATACTGAAAGTTGTCATCACTGATTAGTATGTAATAATTAAAAATTATGAATATTTGAATATTATAAAAGCAGATAATACAAAAAACAAAAGATAAATAAAAATCACAAATAATTAAATGAAATATGTAAATTTTATACATATAGCACTCAATTACAAATTACATATTACAAATCAATCATAATTTTGATTGAAAATATACAAAAATTTTAGAAAAAAATAAATCGTCCCTCTTTCTCTCCTATAAATATCTTATTTCTCTCCAAACAAAATAGCAAAAAAATCTAAATCTATTACGAGAAATATAATCTTTTTTTATAACATGAATATACATCAGTGCTTATCGAGTCATATTGATTTTGATATTTACTCTTTGTTCTTAAATAAAATATCTCTAATTAAAAATTATTTTCATCGATTTTTAGTATCGCATTTATGTAAAGGATTTGTTAAATCGTTTACACGTCTCTTTGGGAAATGTAAGAACTTACGTCCATGAAGTCTCTCGAGAAATACAGCCAGTTAAATTAGCTACATAAATCTATCTGTGCGAAACATTCATTCGCTTCGATTTACGCGCAAAAAATACGCGGTAAATAATGGACATCTTTTACGATCAATACATTCAATCATCAATACAAGTTATGATAATTTGTTTTGTGTATTTGCAAGTCAAAATTTATTTATGGAAACCATGGAAAAATTATTCGATAATTAAATAATTGAAACATCTTACGATATCAAAATCATGTCATGTCATTTATCTCCGTCGATTGATCTTGCTCTACTGTGTATAGCATTAATTATTCCCTTAACTTTACGTTATTAACCCGATGTTCTAGACGCTAATGTATGTTATGCTTTACCGTTGTTGGATGTCATTATCATTTAATCTGATTTCATCATTACAACGCATTTATGTCACGACTAGCGATCAATTCGACGCTTCGATAGACCAGATGTAGTGACTAGGTATTTTTTTTTCAACGATATAGCCATCCGCAATTTTTTGTCCACGTTTTCTATGCGAGATAATAAGTTAGTTATATATTAAACGTCAGCGGTTGTCTCTCATGCTACACATCTTTCTCATGACAAGCGAGGGCATTATTAATATCATGTTAGATTAATAATTATGTTCCATTCTTTTAATATATTCTCAACAAATAATTCAATACAACTCAATAATTTAGTATAATAAAGTATGCTAATGTCTTATAATTAACAGAACCATACGAGAAATTAGAACAATGCTTTTCCGGTAATTTCGAAATTTTTTTAATAATTTAAATTTGTAATTATCGCTGCAGCTATTGTTTTGCAAATTAGGAGGATGTTTTTTTGTGCAATTATGTTTCGCGAGTCACGTTCGCGATAATTCAAACTCGGTCATAAGTTTAATTAGTTACGTTAATTTTGTATCGGCCTTGGCGATAGTTCCTCTCGTCGACTTCGCGATAGAGTGACTGGCAATTGTGTT